GGAGAGGGAGAGCTGGCGGGAGATGGAGAGCGTGCGGGGGAGACAGAGGGGAGGGGAGGGGAGGAAGGGGGGGTGGGTTTCGACATGAAGGTTGTGAAGGTTGTGGTGAGGGGGATGAAGGCGGGCATGCCTCGGGGGGGTAGGCGGGATTGGAAAGGGGAGCGGAGATGGAGACGGAGAAACTGGGAGGGGTTCATAGAGAGGGGGGGGAGGGGAGGCGCAGTTGACATGAGCTGGACGGGCGCGATGGGAATGGTGGGAGAAGGAGGGGAATGTTGAATGAATTGCAGCAAAAGGTGTTTTGCGGGTATTTTCTGCGGGTCGTGTACCGCTATCAGGTGTGAGGGATCAACGGAGTTTGAATGACCCTATCAGGTTTATGACCGAGTTTTGTTGCCTACTGTATCATTCAAACTGCAAAGAGTGTCTTCTATACCAAATGGACTGCACCCCTCGTCTACTTCCCCACTTTCCCTCTCCATTCTGCAGCAGCTACAGCGCCTACTTGCACCATGTCGCTTCTCTGGACGTCGGTCTCCGTCCTGCTGTGCGTCGAGCTAGTGATCCTAGTGGCGCTGTGCGCGCCGCTGCCCTGGGGCGTGCGGAAGAACATCTCGCGCACGATCCACCGTCTCAAGCTGCACCACGGGCTGGACGCCGGGATAAAGTACATCATCTTTGCGCTGTTCCTAGCGCTTGCGGAGAGCCTGAATGCGCTGAACTATGTCCACCGCAAGATGGCAGAGACGGGCGACGACGAGTTGCTTTTGACGCGCATCAACAACACCAAGTGGCTCAAGGCGCGCGCGGAACGCAACATGTATTTGGCGGCCTTTGCCATCACAGGCGTCATGACGATTTGGAGGCTGGTGCGTCTGGCCGCTAATGAAGTGTCTTTGAGGGAGAAGATCAAGGAGTTGAACGGGGGCAAGCCCATCACGGAATCGGGGGAGACGCTTGATACGAAACAGAACTAATGTCTAAAGCAAAACCCAACAGCAGAAATGCTTTGCAATTGTCTGTAGTGCAGTTGCAGTCTGCGATAATTTACTCGGCAAAGCCGACCTTGTATATGAATAAGAAGCGCGATTGCTAGTTAGAATTTCTGTCTACGTTACTCTCTAACCAATCCACATGCCCACGACCACCCCACCACACCCCGCCCGCCGCCTCGCTGCGCTACCGCCTTCTTCTCCTCCCTCCCGGTGCAGCTACCGGCGCATCTTGCTGCGAGTTGGAGATAACGTACAGAGTCCTTGCGCATTGCTCGAGCGCCTTCTTCTCAGTCTCTACATACCACGCCGGCCGCTCGTCGTGCGCCGCCGCGTGCAAATCCTCGTCCAGACCATCTTCTTCGCAGAGGAGCGAAAACCCGTTTTCGTCCTTGTGCGACACGTTGCCGTTCATAAACGCAGGTCCCATTGGCGTGCGCGCTTGCACATGCGTCGGCTGCTGTCTCGGGTCGGACCCCGCTTCCGCTGCTGCGTCCGCGAAAAGTTTGAGCAGCAGCGCGGTGTCCTTCTGCGCCTCGGAGACAATCTTGGGATCGAGTGCCTTGGTCGCGGCGGCAAGCATGTTCTGCGGATGGTCTTCGTAAATCTCGGACGTTTCGTAGTGCAGACCGCCCGGGCTGCCCAGATGGCCGAGGCGAGATTTCAAGGCCGGCCCCTTATGAAACAGGATGCGCTTCGCGGGGGGCTCCTTGAGCATTAGCGCGTTCTGTGATCTCTTACCTGTTATCGCGTTTGCGCCGGGAAGCTGTGGTGCGGGCGCGAGCAAAGTGGCTTTTCGCGAGGCCGGGGACAGCGCGCGATCGAATAGTGAATGTCCGCCAGCCGAGCGGCCGGCCTTGGCGTTGATGGCGGCGGCCGAGCCCTCAAAGTTCCTGCAGTTGACGCACTTGCACAGCTCTGAGCAGAGGACGCCCATTTGGAAGCACTCGCAGTAGCCCTTCAAGCAGCCACTTTTCCGACAATTGCATCCCTTGTGATGTTTGTCCCTGACGACCTTTTCGCCTTTCGCCTTCCGTTTGACCTTTGGTTGAAAGGCGGTGGGATTCCTCTCAAGAATGGCCTGAACGGCGAGCCTCTTCTCGGTGGGGTAGTGGCCGTTGTTCCTGCAGTTGTGGCAATGGCAGCGGTCGCCGCACACCAGGCTCTTCGCAAAGCACTCGCAGTAGAGCTTGAGACAGCGGGAGTTTTTGCAGTTACAGCCCTTATCGCCGCGCGGCTCGGGCGCGGACTCGGGCGGTGGGGGAGGTGGCTGGGTCTTGACTTTCGGGGAGAGACGTGGGGGAGGGTATAGG